TGTGGCTTTCGTGGTTTTACCCCCTACTTGAAACGACACACAATTCTTCGTCAGTTGTGAGTTTCATTTGTTGTTACGTGGCCGAGAACACTTGCAGATGTCGATGCATTGCTGGAGCGGTAAGTTTCGTAGTCATACCTTCGTCATTGATTACAAGAACTATCCAGTCCCATGTGAGACTGTCGCCCATGCATTCACAAAAACTGTTGGACCGGGCCAAAATCTTCAACTCGGTGACCTATGCGTCGACGGATTCATTTGGGTGTCCGCTTCACTAAACGAATAGGTGGCGCTGGTTTCGCTTTCGCCAAATTCACCGGACTTTCCAATAACTGTCTCCAAATCATTGGAGTCATTGTCTTTGTCTTAGCGCAATGTCTCTAGCACACGGTGCGCGTCATCCCCGGCTGCGCATCGAAACATGACCAAGCGATAGGTTATTGGTATGTTTCAGCGTCTGCAATTTGTTACTGATCGGTCAGTAGACAGCACTTGAACACTAGAGACCATATCGACCGAAATCTGCTGTGTATCGGAAACCCGCCCGCAAGACTCGAGCTCTGTGCTTACTCTATGATCCCATTCATGTGACACTGGTGTGGCACTTTCTCATTGTGTCTATCCGAAGATGATGCAGCTCCGACTTCCGGTCAAGCCGGTGTGGGTGTTGCTCCCGGACTGAAGCTGTTCTAGTCAACTGAATCCCAGTTAATAGCCAGATGCGCATCGTCTGACTGGCTTGCTGGTTCTTAGTTTCAAAGTGGCACGCGGGGACAGGAGATGCCTGTTTGTTATTGCTGTATGCGCCACCACAAACCCTAGCGTTGACTCGGTAAATTATATGTTCTATCGCCAACTGAACGAGCTCTTTCTTCACGGAAGAAGCAAGGATACCATGGTGCTGACTGGGGATCTGAGCTGCATCTGATTGGAAAACAGGATATGGGCTCTAATAATGGTAATACTGAGTGGTTACTACACCTGGTTGAAGATGCTCATCTAGGTTTCAAAAACACAAACTTCCGACACTAGCCGGCGAAGGATGACATTGCGCCCAAGAGCATCGGACTAGCCGTGGACGCAAAGTGATCACATCGCGATCGACTACCGTAAATAAACTACATCAAAAATTCCAGTTCTATTTGGAGCATGAGCGTGGATCTCCACCATACAGTTGTATGTACTGACCTCCGGGTGTTTCTCTTCAAACGTTTGCGATAACGCTATGAGCGCGTAGGCGCCCACTAACTGGAGAAGCCAGATACCCTGAATGCGTATCGTAGCACCCTGGCATTCGGATTCAGTAAGCGCTCACTGAACAAAGTTAAAACTTAGCGGTCACATGTTCGTCAGACCTTATTATCAGCATGCGTGTTTTCATGTGATAAATCTGGTTGCCATGTTGGTTGCTTGGTTACGCGGTCTCTGGATGCTCACCGACACACTCCGGCTGTTAGAGAACACAACTAGACCTCAGAACAAAACCACCTACCAGGCTGAAGAGAGTCCGGTAAATCACATTGTCAGTGTTGGGTGAAGCAGCGCCGAACTACCTCATTGTCCTATCTGTCATGGCAGATAGAAACGGCTGCTGTCCTTGGTAACCATCGTGGGTTATTCCGTCGGATACTGGAAACGAGCAGCAAGAGAATTGCTTTTAGTGAGACTATATGCGACGGGAGAGAACAGTCTATCCACAACCTGTCAACACGTTTAATACATCGAGCTAAGCACTTCGAAAAACAATTTAGTCGACCAGAATTGTCTGCTTCATCGCCGATCAGTGATCACCTTGCTCCCTGGGCCATCTCTTTGGGTGCCGCGGGACCAAATGAACTTCCTCTAATTTCCCTTAAAGTCGGAGGACCTGCTCGTGTGGACGATTTACATGATTTGTTAGAGAAACTTTGGGAGTATGAAATTGTCTTAACCGATTGGAGCTGCTTTATTATTGTCCCCATCTCAGGCTTAGAACACTTTCGGAATGCAGCAACCATAGACGGGGCAATATGTATTCCATTGACTCCGTTATTTGCCTCTGTAGTTTTTCACAGATTGACTAGCATTTGTGAAAGCCAGCTTCTTGAAGAACAACTTGGGTCACGTCGAAATCTACATTGTACTGGCCACATATTTTATTTTGCGTCAATTGTTGAAGCATCGCCACATATATTGATGATCCACCATAGTCGTTTTCCTCGACATCAAACGTCCCCTTGATTCGATGAATCGATGTGCTCTTTGGGACTACCTGCCTAGCAAACATGTAGCCGAGAAATGTGTAAATATTATGCGGGCGTTTTCCACGCGAAACTCAAGCATAATGAATGCTTATGGCGAAATCTAGCCGTCCTTCAATATCTCCAGCGGTATGTGACAAGAGGGCCTCTGTTACCTCTCTTTTTTCACCTAGCTATTGACGATGTCATGGAACTTGCGTTCACTGGATACCAATGAGGTGTGCAGTTACTGTCAGGTGATCGAGTTCTTGCTTTGGAGAATGTCGACGATATTGCCTACTCGGTGACAGTTCACAAACCTGCCAATAGGCGCTGCATTGATTGTCACTGAATGCACTTCGTTTTGCGCTCTTAAAATGCAAAGCTTTGTTCCAAGTTTGGCAGTGACCAACCCATCCACTGACCTTTAGTTGAAGTCAGCGAAGTTGCAATTGGGTGTTGCCCGCCCGAAAACACTGCAGAGTTTTCTGGCGGGCAACACCCAATTTCTGCTTCAGCTACGGTCCTCTTGATCGAAAGACCAAGGTCCACTTCAGTGGGAATCACGGTCAACATTGAGATTACGTGTCGCAATGCATCCATACAACGTGTACTAAATCAACTGGAAATCGTTCAGAAATTCAACTATCTGGGCAGCTGTATCAGCATTATGGCGAATAGGAGATCACGAGTGATGTAGTAAAAGCACGAAGTGCTTTCGCCAGTCTTGTTTTGTGGCACTAGCGCGACATCACTCTCGCCCTGAAGGGTAGAGTCTATAATGCATCCGTCCGTTTTAATTTATTGTACGGTTATGAAACCTGACCCATAAAATCGACAGATTTAATGGGGCTAGTTACGTTCGACCGCCGGTGCCTTCGCAGTTCAGCCCCCACCTGGTAGCAACTCTGTGTGGGCAATGAGCGTATTCGGTGTCTTATTTGTGGCTCAGGGAGAGCAAATGAACCGCTCAGTATCATTATTTCGCGCACCATGCTCCGTTGACTGGGCCGCGTGTTATACACCTTTACACATCTATTCCATTGGCGCATGTTTACGCGACTGTGGTCTGGATTGACAGGATGATATGCAAGCCGATGAATGAAGTTGGTCTCGGTTGGAGCTTCTGAGGCTCCTTGGTTTTGATCCGAAATATGACGCGCACGTTTGGCTTGATACACTTGTTGATGTAGTTAGAAGCCGGCCCCAGTGGCGTTTGTCTTGTGAGTTTATTTGTCTCTCTCCTTCCCGCTTATCCTCCCCTCTAATTACGATCACATCGTCAATGCATGATATAAAACAGCACCTTGTTTTTTGTTTATATTTTGTTGCTTTTTTCACGCCATCTTATTAGTTTGTATTACAGTACCATATATTTGGCGTTTCTTATCCCTAGCTGATCTGCTGGCTGATGATGATCACGTCGATGATCATGATGATGGTACGTTGCCTTTCTATCTGAGTTCTTGTACACATAGCCGCGTTTCGAGACAATTTGCTTTAAGTCAGTGTGGTATGGCCCTTTCGGTCTGCATCTCACATATGCCATTGGATTTTATCTGGTGCCTAACTCATTACGCATGTCGACTGATACCACTGTGTCTACATCAAGTGGTGATGATTTTACTACTTATTTCGGTAAACAGCTAGGCTTATAGCGAAGGTCTGGACTCGGGCACATGCTACATATATCCGCTCGGCAATCAGGTAACGGGAGTTTGTGTTTTCCGGATGGCAGAAAAGAAAGTCATCGGCAGTACGCCGGTACGCAGTATCGACGCCTCGCTGCCGCGCAGCCACAACCAGTCGCGCGTGGGCTGAGTACTGCGAGGGTCGACCGGTCCCTACGCCGGCTGGAACCCACACCCTTAAATTACAAGACAGGCTTGTGGTTCTTAAGGCTACAAACCGGTTGCTATAGAGCTATCAAAATCAACGGATTTTTCGACCTATTCATAGGACATTTCCGTCTGTTGCTTTGACATCGCATTTTTGCATTCTAAATTAACTCGAAAAACATGAGTCTACTTTAACCGAAAAGCCTTCATTGCTGTTGAACGCATGATTGGGTTTTATGCCGTTTGGTCTCATCATGTCGATTGATCTAGTAGAGTAGGTCATGCTTTAGGTAAACACTGCGGGATACTCAGGACGATTTTGTGCTCCATATTATGCAAATTCTGGGAACGATTATCAAAGCCACCTGTAAGCCTTAGTCTAGACTCGTCTACATGCTGTGTTTGTCCGCTATCAGCTTCACTGTTTCTCTTCCCGGCGGACCACCGCTCCGTTTTGCCACGCAAGTCGGAAGCGTTGGGCCTTCGACATGCTCTTCAGTTGCGCCAGTGGTTGCGCTTCGTATTCGACATCGATGGAAATTTCCAGTATCACTATCCTCATTTACAGCGATCTCAGATGTCTAACTGACATTCGCTCGTTCTCTGATGACTGCTCCGTCTACCCTTCCTATTTGTAGGATTGTCTCCCTTAGTCGTTTCTTTTAACTTTCTGATTCGTATGAACACGCTTGCCACCCGCACAGGAATAACCGCATCCGTTCCATTCCTTTCTGCTGGGGTGTATATAATAGTCAATCCTTTCTGCTTCTCAAAAACCACAGGGTCCATCATTTCATGGTCCATCACCGGTTTGCATAGTGTGTTCGGCAAATATGCATTCGTTTATTGATCCAGCTGAAGTCATCCGTTTTCCCCACATATCTGCTGTGTGAGATCGGTAAATTGATGAGATTTCTCACATCGCTGTTCGCTTCATTCCTAGCTCGGCACCCTGAGGCGTTACATATCATCCGATCACAGTGATGGTGCGCACTCGATTTCTCGTGAATCCACACTTCGACGGTGTTTCTTATGGGTAGAACGTCCGATTCTTCCTGGGCCATCCAAATCGCTTGCCCCATTGTGTCGGTCCACGTTCCGCTGCACGAACGACCAGTTTCATGTTGGTGATCGAGTGATCGGAATAGTCACTCGTCGCATTGGAGACTTTTACGCCGTCGATATTGGTTGCGCAAACCCCGCTTCGTTAAACTACCTGTCGTTTGTCGGTGCATCAAAGAAGAATCGTCCCGATATCGGTCCTGGTGACGTCATTTATGCCACAGTTACCCAGGCTGACAGAGGTCAGTTTTGCACAACTTTGGTTGCACATTGACGGTTTCTATTGGTACATTATATATGCATTGATTTTAACCTTTCAAAGGTATTTTAACCTTTCAAGGTATCGTTCCGCTCTGTCGCGCGACACTAATTTCACGGGGTGCAGTTCTCGGGTCTAATGTCGCTTTCTAATTTCCTGCCGCATATCTGTGGTTAGTGCAATCAGTCACCCTGTGCAACTCGGCTTTTCAGCAACTTGGTGGCTGGGCACCTCGCAATCTGTCAGTCAGTCATGATTATAACTTGAATCATGGGCACGCTTTTTCCGAGGTCACAGCCAGGGTTTCATCGTTTTGTTGATTTACCATTGGGACTGGTATTCCCATTAGGAACCATATTTAGCTCGAATGAGCCCCAGCAGACGCACAACCAGATGTAGGCGACACTAAGCGTCGACCATTATGGAAAGCATCTTCTCTATGTGCCAGTGGTGTGGATTCTCAGTTCTAACAGATTAACTGCTTTTTCTCCATTTCCCTTCGTCTCAGACCTATCATTACACCCCACCTTCAATTCTTAGCCATATAACCAATGTTTATGGTGCTATGACACTTACTTCTGTTACTGCCTTGCGGCTTTCGCTTCCTTTTATGTGGTTGATTTCTTTGGCAGTATGTATGTTCGTCTGTGTCACGATGCAAAATGACCATGCGCAACGTATTGGCAAGATTGTGAGACGTGATCTCAGGATAGGAAACAGGATATGCAACTACAGCGAACTGACGAAAACGGGTATACGAGAAGTGTTGGCCGCTGAGGTTAATCTGATCGGCCGTTGAAATACGATAACACACCACTGTGTCGACTCTTCCTCGGTTTGGGCAACCGGGAAGACCTCTGCCCGCACAACACATAAACCTTGTAAATCCAACCTTTCCTCTGTCTACCTATTTTCCCCTTGTTGCTGCTGTTGTTGTTAACTGTGTTGTGGCACTGCCAATTGTGTATTGGTCAGGTGTTGAATAATATACTAGTATACTGCGTCGACTAATAAAGTGAGCTGTGGGACACCGCATAGTGATTCGTATTCCTGACACCTTGTTCTGTTTATGCCTGGGCAACCTGACAGTATCCTGCCCACACAATACATTGACTACTTTCGGACCGATTTACTGTGTACCAGGATGCCATACGCGAGTTGTCCCATGCCGTCTGCTTTCGACAGCAGAAGCACTCACAACTCGCCTCCATAACCCGGAGTTGTGCGTACAGAAGAATTTCGCACAGATTCTCTGTCTAACCTTGCCACAGACTAATACAAGTAAGTAGACTTGTCACGCCATTCCGCACGACTCCACACAGGTCGGGCCAATCACATACCCTTATTAATGAGAAAATTTGATTTATTGACGCCTACAACTCAGGTGTTGATCTACATACTTATGGTTGTACTAGCCTGATGATGCTCCACTGAAATCAAGCTTATTCGCTACATTATACTTCTCATACTTTCAAACCATTTATTGATGCTCTTACCGTCGCAGAGGATAATTAACCGCGCCCTATTTACTGCTTCGAGCAGGGTGGATAGGATTTGGAATGCTACTGCTTAAAACATCCCGTTTTCTTGGTTCCCTTCGTACGCTTTTTCATTCTTATTGTCCCGTTCCAACTTTTATCTCCTCCTTTTCCAACCCCCAATTCTTGGCCCTTCTTCACCATACTTTGATAGACGTTTATCTTCTAGTTTCAACTCATGCAAACGCGGAGCCCTCACTCTTGCCCTATCGACAAGTCTATGTGTAACCAAGCGATCAAGCTCAGTTTATCCGCTTCTGTTTGGAGCCCTCCATTCTCCTTCAGATTGGCGTGCCTCAACCTACGCACATTGTTACAGATCGTTCAACAGGCATCGCTTGACCAGACATTAGAGATCCACTCGATCGCCATCTGCTGTCTATCGGAAACCCGCCTGCAAGATTCGAGCTCTGTTCTCACTCTGCGAACCGCTTCAAGTGACGCTAGCAGTGCTTTCTCATTGCGCCTACCCGGTGACGATGCAGCTTCGAGCACCGGCCAAGCCGGTGTTGGTATTGCCTTGAGTCCCCGGGCTGAAGCTACTCTGGTTGACTGGATTCCAATCAGTAGCCGGTTGTATGCAATCCGATTGGCTGGCTTGTTCAAAGCTTCGAAGCCGCACTGGACTAACAGAGGTCTGTTCGTCATCGCTGCCTATGCACTCACAAACTGTAGCGATGATTCGGTAAAAGACGACTTCTATTGCCAATTGAACGAGCTCCTTAGCCACAGAAGTAGGTCGAACACTGTTGTGCTGGCTGGGGATCTGAACACTCAAGTTGGAAAATTATCCACTGATGAACTGCATCTGGGCTGCCAGCATGGTGTAGACTCGCGTAATGATAACGGTGAGCGGTTACTTCATTTGTGTGAAGATGCTCGCTTATTTCTTGCGAGCACTAATTTCAGACACAGCACCCAACGGAGGGTGACTTGACGCCAACCAACTGTAGACGCAAATCGATCACATTGCGATAAGTTACCGATGGAGAGGCTGCGTCCAGAACTGTCGCTCGATTTGGAGCACATGTGTGGACACCGACCATAAACTTGTATGTGCTGACCTGCGGATGCGTTTTGGCGGACGCCCACGACGCCGTTATGAGCGCAATGACACCAGCTAACAGTCGAAACCAGCTGTTCTGAATGCCTATCAAGGTACGCTGTCATGCGAGTTGAGTAAGCGCTCACTGGATGCAGTTGAAGCTCACTGGTCTCATATTCACCAGTCCTTACTAGCAGCAGGAAACTCCTCATGTGGTAAGTCTAATCGCCAACATGGACATTGGGTCTCTCCGCAGTCTCTGGAACTTATCGATGCTCGCCGGCATATTCCGGCTGGAAGCGAACACAATGAAACTCTCAAAGAGCTCCGGGCAAAACTCCGTGCTAGCTTGAAGAGAGACCGCGAATCCTGGTGGTCTCATCATACATCGGAGATGGAAATGGCTGCTGCTCTTGGTAACCATCGTAAGTTATTCGGTCTGATACGGAAAACGGGCAGCAGGAGACTTAGTGTTAGTGAAACGGTACGTGACGAGAGTGGACAGCCTATCCACAACTTGTCAAAATGCTTGGAACGTTAGGCTGAGCAATTTAATCGATCGGAATCATTAGATTTCTCGCCGGCCACTTATCGCCCCACTCCGTGTGCTGTCCCTTTGGATCCGCCCTCTCGCTCAGAAGTCAGATGTGAGATCGTACTGTTGAAGTTAAATAAAGCCGCTAGACCAGGTAATCTACCTCCAGCCCTCTTCCTATTCCGGGGACTTGCTCTTGTGGATGATTTATACGAGTTACTAGTGAAACTGTCCCAACGGACTGGGGCCGCTCCGTTATAGTCCCAATTTTCAAGGAAGGCTCCCATTCGGAATGCGGCAACCATAGAGGAATCAGTTTGATCTCCATCGCCTCCAAATTATTCGCCTCTGTCATCCTTCACAGACTGACTGACACTCGTGAAAGCCGCATTCGTGAGGAGCAAGCCGGGTTTCGTCGAGGTCGTGGCTGCACTGACCACATCTTCACTTTATGTCAGTTGTTGGAAAACCGTTACATATATTGGCGGCCCACCGTTGTCGTGTTCCTCGATATCAAAGTTGCATTTGATTCTGTGGATAGACATGCACATTGGGACTGTCTACTCAGGAAAGGTGTACCTGAGAAATATGTGAATATTATCCGAGCATTATATGCTCGTAGCTCAGACAGATTGAGGGCCCACGGCAAGCTGTCGTCCCTCCAGCGATGTGAGACAAGGATGCCCGCTATCCCCTTTCCTCTTCAACTTCGCTGTTGACGAAGTCATGAAAATCGCGTTCACGGGACACGACTTAGAAGATGTGGATCTGCTCCCGGGAGAACGACTTCTTGACTTGGAGTATGCTGACGACATTGCCCTAATCTGTGATAGCTCACAAACGTGCCAAGCGGCTTTGGACAGATTTGCACTCTCTGTCCGTCATTTGGGGCTTTGCTTTATACCCTCGAAGTGCAAAGCTTTCCTCCAAGATTTGCAGGGACTGCCTCCTGGACTGGCCCTTGATAGAGATCAGCCAGAGGTCATTCAAAAATTCAACTACCTGGGCAGTTGTATCAGCGTCGTTGTAATTGCTTATACTGTACAATCAATATTGTATGTGGGAGCAGGTAGAAATATAAATCTGTACAACTCCATCGCAGTATAGACAAAAATGTACAAATTGTCTGCACTCCGTGATAATCGAATCATTCGACAGGTTCTTGCTTAGCACTTTGGAATGTCTGTCCTGCAGTTTCACGCGTTTCACAAAAGCAAAACGTCATTGTTAGTGTGCAGTCGTTCTCTGAATCGAATAGGGCTGAAATGTAAATCCAATAACGTTTCGAACTGTTGTACAGATTTAGCCTCCACGACTTCTACTTGATTGTTCCAAACACTCACCACTCTCCGTTCGAAGCACAGGGGGTGTGGTAGTCGTTTTATATCCGACACCACAGGCTTGTATCGGTGTCCGCGTGTCTTACATGACGTTTGCAAATGAAACAGCGGTTTCAACCTGGAGAAATCACCAAGGTGTAATATACGGTAGGTCTTGATGAGGACGACTCGTATCCGACGATAGGACAAGGTCTAGAGTCCGAGTTTCTCGCACCGGTCTTCGTACGATTATTCCCGTAAACCTGGAATGAGCCTGGTAGCGACGTGTTGGACCCGTTCGATCTTCTGTGTCTCGCCTCGGGTGATTGCGCAGTAGTTACGTGAGCTGTACTCCAGTATTGGTTTAATGATGGAGGAGAAGAGGCGAGTGGCGACCTCTTCAGACCAAGTACAGGAGCTGCGTTTGTTCGCCTAAAGCATACGCAGTCCGTCACAATATTGTCTGTTCGTGTTGTCAACGGACTTCAAATCGTAGCGCGAGAGTACACCTAGGTCCTTCACGGTAGGTGTGGGATGTAGCGGTTG